TTATATATAATAAAAAAATTATATAAATATATTAATTATAATTTAAATATTATATTTAATAAAAAAAATTAAAATTTAAAAATAAAAAAGTTTTTTTATTAAACTATATCAAATTATTTTACAACTAATAATTCAATTTTGCTAAAATTTGAAATATATATTATTATATATATATTTATATATAAATTTACTAAATATAAATTTCTAAAAATATAAATTCATAATAATAATATCTAAAAATTATTTTTAAATTTTAATAATTGCAAATTTTATTGTTCAAAAATGAAAAGTTTTGCTTTATTTATTCTTAAATAAAAGTATAAAAAAATACTAAAAATAATATAAAAAGATATACTTTACTTAATATAAAAAATTATAAATATTAATTATATTTTATATGACTATTATTAAAAGTAATTATTAACTTTTATTTTTTATATATCAATATTTTTGCACTAAATCATATTTTATATAATTAATAATTAATAAAACAAATAATATAATTTGTAATTATTTAATCAAATTTAATAAATTAATTATAAGTTATATTTTATCTATATTTTTAAGTTATTTATAATTAAATTATTTAATAAATAATATATCTTTTATAATAAAATAAAATAAAAAATAGAATATTTAGATTTTGATATCTAACTTGCTATATTTTATATTCTAAATAATCAAAATTAATATTAATATATAATAAGTTATAAAGTCTTATAAATTAAAAATTTATATTAATAAAATAATAATTATTTATATTATTATACTTATTGATTAAATTGATTTATTAAGATAAAAGACAAAGTCTTAAATTGACATAAATCTGATATAAGTAAGCTCAAATTGCATACTAATATTATTTAATATAGCAGAATTTATTTTAAAGCTAATTATTCACTACTTTTCTAAAATATAAAATTTAACTTCTTGAATACTTATACCAAAAGTTTAATCTTAAATTTAATTTTATAATTCAAAGTTTAATTTCAAATCTAACCTCTTGATACAAAGTCTAATTTTAAATTTAATCTCATTATTTTGGCAATTTGAATTTGAAAGGTATTAAAATTCATTTGATTAGCAATCTTCTATTGCTATAATATCTGAAATTCAAATAAAAGTCTCTCAAATCAGTATTTTTTAGGAAAACAAATGCAATATCATATAAATTAAAGATTGCAATAGTTACTTACAAAACTTTAGAAATTAAATATTATTTTAGTCTTCACAAAGTTCTAATTTGAATTTCATAGAAAATTTATGATATAAAATGAAAAATGCTGTTTGCTAACAATTCTTTATACTATTTATTCTTATAAAAATATATGAAAGTAACTTGAAAGAATTTTGCAATTGAATATTATTAAAGACTTATTATAATTAAATTATTACTTGCAGTTAATGTAATTTGCATAAGAGAGATTTATATATGATTTAATATGTTAATAGATTATGAAATAAAGCAATAAAAAATAAGATTATACTTTGAGATTAGACTTTGAATCAAAAGGTTAGATTTTTGTTCAAGAGATTAGGTTTGAAATTAGATTTTGTATCAAGAAATAAATACAATTTTATTTTAGCAATGTACAACAACTGACGAAATCATTCAGCTATTTTGCGATTTGTATTTTCCTCTTAATCTTTCATATAGAGAGCAGTCATATCATATTTTGTGTGTAAGTGAACTACATAATATGAAAAATGACAATATCGGAACAAATAGTGGAAAAACAATCAATTTTGAGATTTTTTATCTTACAAAATTCTTTCTGCTCAACAAAAAGTTAACAATAAATAAAGATGCATTCATAAAAAATTAAGCAAATTGTTTCAGGAAAATGTTTCTGAAAATGTGGGTTTCTATATGAATACAGAAATTCCATCCACAAGTAATATATTATTTTACATATGTTCACTAGATTTTTAACTGATTATTTTGGTTTAAACTAATATAAAGATGATGAAAAAGATAGAGGAACGATGTTATGTAAATTTACTTGAACAGAATCAAACTATTCTTATAACTATTGAGATTTTTATTATAGAGAAAATCATAAAATAGCAAGATCGTAATAAACACACTTGCGCAATGATTGCAATTATCACCTGTTATTATAATCAATTATGCCAACATTTTATTTGTAGCACGTAGGACAAAAAATAGCTTTCATTATCCGATATGACTACGTTAAAATCACGTGGATACCTCTATAAATTCTCACGTTTGCGTGGATAGATTTACCAACTTTCGCTATCGCTATGCCTTATGTAGAGGTTAAAACAAATGTCAAGGTACGTTCTACAACTTTAATCTCATGATTTTTATCAAACATTACTAATAAAATTCTTAGATCCAAGATCACACTAAATTCTTGAAATCTCTAAACGATCTATCGGTCAAACTTCTCAAAAAACCCAATTCTTATATCTCTGTCAGTTTACAAGACGATGTTTCGCTCCTCTTTGCCGGCACTGACAGTCCCGCGTATGTTGTGCATGTGAACTCGTTGGGTACTTTTGATAATTCAGAATATAATAAAGAAATCTCTAAACAATACTCGGAGTTTTTGCAACAAGAATTGGGTGCAACCAGTGATCGTGGATATATTTTCATGAATGATGGTGGACGTCAAAATGTTGGTTATAGAGGTTCAACTTTTGATAGATAGTTTGGGAATAAATTGTATCAAATAAATGTTTGTTATTCCTGCTGATCATAAAAAAGTATGAAACTCTCGTGATGATCTTGAATCATCCAGTTTTTTTTTTTGCATAAAAATACCAATGCTCGCTCGATATCTAAAGATCAAATATTATCCAACGCATTATTGTCATAAACGCTTATCAAGTTCATTTGTAAGTCGAAACTATATTTAGCTTTAGCTAGAATCAAATCTGATTGACGATATCGTCGAGCGTTTTTTTTTTGTAGTCGCTATTAGATATTTACAATATTGTGACAGAGGAGGCGGATAAAGAGCATGACAAAGAAGAAAATAAATCGAAAAAGAAAATATCAAAAAATCGGCTTAAGCGAGAGGCTAGACATAAAGCTCTTTATGAATCATTTGAAAAACGGTTCAATGCCTTTTATTTACAGCAATATGATGATGAAAGATGGATAGAATTATATGATGCTTTAAAACAGCCGGCAAGACATTGCGCCATGATTAATAAATACACAGATCAAACAACAATATCTGAAATGCTTGAATCAAGATTAGAGAGATTAACGTATTTAGATATTCCATGTTATTCGTTTCCAAACCGATTTCCACAACCGAAGGGAGACTCAAAAAATATATTTGACTATTATCTTCTTGATGCAGCTTCAGTTTTAGCAACTCAAGCTTTGGATTTGAAACCAGATGATTCTGTGCTTGATGTTTGTGCTGCACCAGGTGGTAAATCTTTGGCGATTCTTCAAAGATTATCCGCAAATGGTTCCCTGACAGCTAATGAACCATCTCTTGATCGTCGACGTAGACTCAACCGAGTCATTTCTGATTATATTCCATTGCAACTACAACCTCGTATTAATGTAGTTCGCGAGTATCTAAAAGAGAGTTATCTATACGATAAAGTATTGGTGGATGTTCCATGTTCTGCGGAACGACATTTACTCACCAGCGAAACAGAATTCGAACATTGGAATGAAAATAGATCTAAAAAACTTGCTAAAAAACAATTTATTATTCTTTGCGATGCGGTAAAATCATTGAAAGTTAACGGGTTACTTGTTTATATAACATGCTCAGTTAGTCGATTGGAGAACGATGATCTTACGGAACAATTTTTGCGTGAGAGTTGGGTTCCATTGGAGTTGATCCAAAAGGAATGGCCTATTGGTGAGAAAACCAAGTTTGGATGGATTGTTTTACCGGATAGGAATGATGGATGGGGACCAATATATTTTTCAATTGTGAAAAGAGTTGGGGCGTGGAAAGATGATATTAAAACATTGCGGTCATAAATTAATTAATAGTTATACTTTAATGTGTCGATCATCTAAATAGCACAGGAGGTGTGATAATGATGCATAACGAACCTGTTATACAAATTCCCGTATGTAATTCTATGCAGGGTACATGTACGTATTTATTTAATCAACAAGTTATACTACATGTAATGACATCAATAGCTAGTTTATTTAGAGGTTATAATTTAGAGATTATTTTTTAAAAAGGAGGGAAAGATAAGAATGGCAAATAATAAAGCTGAATAAAGAACTATATAAAGCGTAGTAATTGTTCATTAATGCCTCATCATCTCATCGTTACTGTGTTAATACTTACCCGTTAAGAGATGAACTCGTCGCTTGAGATTGTATCCTTTGTATCATCTTGATTATTAATAGTTACGGATCTAATAAGGTTGCTTAGTCCGAAGCGGCGAATTAGTTCCGATTCAATTTGAGGATAAATCTCGTCACTTGTCCGACCGGCACACGTGACTAATATTCCGTGTTTTGAGTAGTAATTTAGTAAAGGTTCAACTAGGGTGTGATGTTTTTGGAGGCGGATTTTGAAGGTTTCCTTTTGAAAGATAAGTTGAAGAAATATGTGAAAAAGCGGCTTGAAACAATGCGAAAAACCAAATCAAAGAAAACTTACAGGATTGTCATCTGGTCTTTTCGTCAATTTTTCACCTGTTATATCATCATAACCAGCTCGCTTAGGAGGATTATAACTGAGATTATAAACACGTCCAGAAGGCACGTGCACCCAACGATCTATGCAATTATATATAGAGAATTAATAAATACTTCCAACTCTGATGATTATTTATATTTTAAGAAATAAAATTGATAATGTACCCATAATTCTTTTTAAAATAACGTCCTCGGGCACATGAAGATTTATGACTAAATTTAATGGTTGTCCAGTTAAAAACAAATTTTCATCCAATGCCATAGCTTGCTTATTTGTTCTTGGGAAACCATCCAAAAGCCAATTCTTTATAATATAATCAAGTTTTTAATAAAGATCAATAATATGTTTATAAATAGTAAAAATCAATAATATACTAAGTAATGTAATAAACCAACCTGTTGCTCAAGACCATTGAGTTCATTTTTGATAAGTTCAATCATTATATCGTCAGAAACAAATGCTATAAAGAATATGGCCGAAAAAAATTATCAGTTGCTGAATAATGTCCGATTATCAAATTATCTTCATAGTGGTATATTAAAGACTTGTTGATTCCAAAGAAACTATGTGTTGTCTCTTGTTAGTGATTTTACAGGGTGATAAATCAATCCATCACACAATAAAAGTTGTTTTTGTCGTCTTTTAATACAGTTAAACTTGCAAAGAAAAAATTTAAGCACAAAGGTAAAGATTACCTCCACGCTCCATTTGTTCCGCAGCAATTTTCCCGATCTTTGTCCCTCGAGCTACATTTTGACGAAGAATGTCACCACTCGATATTGCAGCACCCATATTAAAATTTTTTTGTATACGAGCGGATTGAGTTCCTTTGCCAGAGCCCTTTTCAATATTGTTTTAACAAATTCACAATTAATTAATTAATTACAATTTACTATAGCAGTATCCCAAAACAGCTTATGTCTCTTGACGCGTGGAATCTTGTGAACTCACCGGACTCCCTAACAACAGTAAACGCATAGGCACACTATCATGAGTCGGCGTGGCTCTCTTTGCTGCAGCTGACTCGTGAAATCCTCTGTTTGATATAACTATAAGGTGGCGATTTAACGAGCTGGCTTGCTGTACATTACGCCGTATCAATGTTTGAAAAGGTTTTAGATGCATATTATTTTAACTTTTTTAAACTTTGATATAATGTTAACGTTAACTTAGGATGAAAAAGAAATATGTTCAAGATATTGACAAAGACGCCAGCAAGGAAACTACTTTTCTTTAGGAGCGTGGTGAGCCTTACGAGTATAGTATCTCGAGAACAAAGTTAAGGGTGCGAGTGTGCGAATTGAACTCGACATGGTTTTATAGTCATGGGAATAATATTTGATGATGGACAATCGATCAATGGTTTCTATCTTCGTTACACGATTCTCATGTGAACAAATACGATAACGGTAATGTCATTTAGATATTATATCGATATTGGTTGTTCAATGCTTTGTACAATTTAGTACCGTTATGCCATACAATTACATCCTATATATGGTAAAATCCAATTATTAGGATTTATATATAATATATTAAATCATAAAAAAAATTACGTTATTATATAGTTCTTGACAAGATCTATCTGATAATATATTTTTTATATAATATAATATAATTTCAATTTTCAGCACATATTATATCACATGTATTATTTTTAATTGGTTAAATTCTTCGTGAATGATTATTTTCATATAAGGTAAAATATAAAATACATATATAATGCTACAGCAAATAAATCAATATTTTATTAATAAATATCTGAAATTTTATTTACTATTATTATTACATTTGCATTATTTTAATTCAGTTTGCAAGTTGATTTGTGAAAAGAACTAGTTCAAATAAATATTAAATAGTTTAATTTCTGAATAATATATTAAGAAATTATTATTAAAAAATTATTATAATATAAAAAATTTAATTAATTATATTAAAATATACAGAATTATGGAATTATGCATGCAATTTTACTAATAAAATATAGTAAAAATTAGAATTTTTGTCTTATATAAAAGTTTTTAATTTTGTTAATAAATCTTTTTTATTATTATATCAAAACAAAGATTATAAGTTAGATTTTTTTCTAACAAAGTTGTTCTAATTAAAAAAATTTTTATAATTAATTTTACATTTTAATTATAAAAAATTTAGAAAAAAATTATATATTAAAATATAACTTATAATCTTTTGTTTTAATATAAAAATAAAAAATATTTATTAATAAAATTAAAAACTTTATATAAACAAAAATTTTAATTTTTACTATATTTTTTTTAATAAAATTATATATAATTTTGTTGATTATTATAATTATTATTTTTGTTAATTATTTTTGTTATTTTTATTATTTTTGCTTGTTAGTATTATTATATTAATTATAAATAAAATAAATAAATAAATAAAGTGAATAAGAAAAATAAATAAAATTCAAAATATTTTTTTGACTATTATTTATTTTGATTAGTTTTTTTACAATCAACAATTTACTTGATAATTATGATAACTTTTAACTAGAAATTAGAATTAAAGTTAGAATTTAAAAACTTTCATATAATAAAATATGACAAATGATAGCAATAATAATAACTTCTATAAAGTTATAAATATTGAAACTTTAATATATTATATTCTTTTTATATTATGATACAAATAATCTAGTTGTATTAAACTTTTAAAGAGTATAACTCATTAATAAAAAATCATATGAATAAATTCCCGTGAATTTATTTGATTTATAAACTTATAGAGATTTATTCACATAATTTTTTATTAATGAGTTATACTCTTTAAAATTCCAGAGAATATTTGATGCATTACACTATAAAAGTTCCTATTTTTAGTGAACATTTATTTGAGTAGTATGGTATTGTCAATAATTGAATTTGATTTTATTTTTACAATATACAAGTATGACATTTGAAATGTGAGGCTAAGGTTTAAATATTATTGATTAGCCTCAAACCACGTGTACATCTGGTATAATTAGCTTCTTTCTAGAAAACTACGGAATCGGTTTTTCGATCGGCTCCTTAATGTCATTGGGATCTTCTTTATTGCCGTCATTAAATTCCAAATCTGCGGCACGTCGAGCTAATTTCGAATTTCGTCTTCCATAAAATGCGTAAATTAGCAGGCCAATTGCCATCCAACCAAAAAGTCGTTCGATACTAGGCTTCGTTGCAGTTGCCAATAGTAAAACAGTGAGAAGAGCACCGACAATTGGGACGAAGTACGTTCCTCCAGGAGCTTTAAATTGTCGTGGGATCTCTGGTGCTTTTATTCTTAAAATCATCACACCGATATGTACAAGGAAAAAGGCAAATAATGTGCCAACAGAAGTCATTTCAGCCAAAACAGCAATTGGAAATATTGCAGCGAGAACAGCAACAAAAAATCCTGTAATCATAATGGTGACGTATGGTGTTTGAAAGCGTGGATGTATTTTTGCAGCAACCGCCGGAAAGAGTCCATCGCTATTTTATTTCCAAAAGAGATGCAAAGATAAATCAGTCGATTAAATGTAACTTAGCACGAAAGAGAGAGATATAAATTAAGGTAATTACTTTGCCATCGAATAGAAAATTCGAGGTTGACCCATTAACATGCATAGAATGACTGAAGTTAATCCTGCCAAAGCTCCCAAATCAATAGCAATACTAAGCCATTTCATGCCAATTTTACTGGTAGCTACAGCTATTGGTGCACCAGTATTCAACTGTTGGTAAGGAACAATTCCGGTCAACACTAGACTATATACCGAATCGAATAGTTGGTTGAGATTCTCTTTCAAGACAAATATACAAATAATTATAATCTACAACTCACCAAACTGCGATATACAATACACTACATATCACCAAACTTCCAATAATACCCAATGGCATATCTCGTTGAGGATTGCGGCATTCCTGAGCAGTTGTGGAAACTGCATCAAATCCTATATAAGCAAAAAATACAGTTGTAGCTGCCGAGAAAATCCCACTAACACCAAAATCATCCCATCGGCCGGTTGTATTGGGTGGGACGAAAGGTTGATAGTTTTGTGGGTTGACATAGATGGCTCCGATTATAATAAACAGAATCACCACGAAAACTTTGTAAGCCACAATTACTGCATTGACTCTCGCTGATTCTTTGATTCCAATTGTTAAGATAGCGGTTAAAATAATAACAATCAGGAAGGCGAGCAGATTAAAGTATGCTCCTTCTACCAATTCAAAGCTTTGTGTTTTTGTAGTGAACTTTAGCGGTGCACTTGTCCATGATGGATTAAGTTCCACACCAAATGCGTCTTGAAAAAAGCTTACAAAATATTCTGACCAGCCTGATTTATATAAAAAGATCAATTATTATAAAGTTTAATCATCCTTTGGATATATTAGGTAATAATTTACCAATAGCAACAGCCGCGGCAGAAACTGCGTATTCCAAAATCAAATCCCATCCAATAATCCATGCAATTAATTCGCCCATTGTAGCATATGAATAGGTATAAGCAGAACCAGCTATGGGTATCATCGATGCCATTTCTGAATAAGACAATGCAGCAAAACTAGCTGCAATACCGGATATTATAAAAGATACAACAATCGCTGGGCCGGCCTTCGTGGCAGCCGCTTGACCTTTTCATGAAAAAAGATTGTTTATTAATTGGGAGATCGTCTAGATTAGGAAACTGGCTAATTGATGTTGCACATAGAAGATCATTGTGCATTCTCATTTATTTCAACCAAATTGATATCTGACACAAGAATACTAAAGAAACGAGGTATACGTGGGCTCACCAGTTAAAACGAAAATACCCGTCCCAATGATTGCCCCAATACCAATCATTGTCAAGTCTACAGCATTCAAACTCCTTTTCAGTCCAGACTTTTCTTGATCATTTTCCAAGTCTGAGAACTTTTTTACAGTTAGCAGTTTTCGTAAATGGTATTTCCAATTAATCTCGTTTGGTTGTTTTGGCTTCCCTGATGTCCAAAAAGCATACCCGGTAGGTACCGCCGACTTGGTGATATCGTTTTCCGCCATTATTTGTATGCGTTTCTTATTGAAAAAATTACTCGAGAAAAGAAAGGAATATTTATTTATGTCATTCGTAAGCTTTGTAATTTATTTTTTTTTGAATTCTTAATCAATTTATACTAGAATCAGCATGTAATTCTCCGCCACCTGTCCTTTTAAGTCCACCACATAATAAACGACTGAGCATACGTATTACTTAAGAACTCTCTTGAGAACTTCCAAATCAGATGGTGCATATAAGATCTAAATTCATCAATAGAATGTATTTTATAAATTCAATAAACTTCTTTAGTAAGAAGTAAATCCGAAATGAAAATATCGATAAGACATATGTACAGTTAGTAGAGAAATTGAATTCATAAATACAATCTATTGATGCATATCCGAAATGGGATAAATATGGTTCAAAGCAAAACAAGTATCTCTTTGTTTCTCTCGATATTAATCCTTTATCTAAACTTAATTTCTTTTAATTGACCAAATTTGAAAAAAGCATGATTATTATTAATTGGTTATTTTTGTACCGTAAAAGGTTCATTCATTTAGTTGTGTGATTAATCTTTGTTGTTCCAAATGCTAACTTCTACAACCTCGCACCGAAGATGTGTTTCACAAAAAGAACAAAATCATTGTAAAAAAACGCATAGATAAGAAAAATATTACAGAATTGTTACACAATTCACCCCCACTCGCCTGCCTCAAATTTCATATGTTCTATACATAAAAACAGCACGAATTGAATCGCAGTAAAGGAAAATAATCTTAATTTTTTCTATATAAAAAAAGAAAACTATAACGAAAATCTAGAAAATATTGTCCGATTTCTTTTAAATAATCGATTCAAATATATATAAATGTATAAACTACAAGTTTTTCTTTTCACACACCCTTTGAAATAAAATATCAATAAGAGAATACGAGGAATTAATAATAATTTACAAAAGAAATGGATCGAAAGATGTTCTATAAAAATGTGATGGATAAATAAAGTTTTAAATTTCGATCTTCTAAAATAAAGTCCGATTATTAATATATTTGGTGATGATGAAGTCGTTTATGATGAAGGAATCGAACAATCGATTGATTGTTCGATCGAATGATCGCTCATCACCGACAAAGGAATATACCAGGTGTCTTGATCTCTCGGATGCGCGAAGAATACATGTCTAAAGGCAGTAGTACACTGTTTAATTCTCTGAAGATTCCGGCATACGTGCCAACATCTACATCCCATAATTCTTTCATTCCAAAAAATTTGAAATTGCCCCGAAATTGTCTCACGAAGGCTCTCAATGAATCAACATTACATGGCTTTTTCGTGACTACGTGCAAGAACCTGACAGTTGGTGCGAGATGTACAGCCAATAATGTCAAGAATTTATTAACACATAATCCCCGACCTTCATATTCCGAGAATCGATCAAGTGCGATAGTTAGCTCCTCAAGTTGATGAAATCCACTTATTGTTTCAAAAAGTTTTGGTGTCACCCCGACAAATGTGTACGACGTAAAATGAGTAATATTTGGACAATGCATGCCGATAGTTTCTAATACACTCATATGATCTTGCCACAATCCACTTGACATACCTCGACCAGTATCCAATATTTGTAAACTACTTCCTGAACGCCCTATTAACGCGTTCCACACGTCAGCACTTAGAATCCCATTCAAACTACTTAGCAAAGTCAACTGGGGAAAAGAAGATGTATCTGAGGTACTGATTAAATTATTAGATAGATTTCTGCAACCATCAAAAACAAGTTCTTTCAAATTGATGAAACCTGATAATTCTTTGAGCCAATTAAAATGTTCAAAATCACATCGTACAAATTCCAATCTTTTCAAGGATGTTGCTTGACTACTCCCTAATGTCATTATAATGTTTCCAAGTCGTGTTCCACCTCGAATAATAATAAATTCGGTGAGAGAACTTTGTACTTGAATCAATTCTATTAAACTATTTACTTCATTCATAGTCATTTGATTGTTCTCTTTAGGATACATATAATATTTAATCGTCTGTAGATTTCTACACGCTTTTGAAATAGTTTCGAGCACCTGGGATTTTGAGAACCGCCCACCGCATTCGAAATATTGCAGATGCGACAGACATTTCACAGCGCCAGGATATGCGGAAACCATATAATAATCGTCGGGTTGTCGATATGGTGACGTGATGCATAGATATTTGAGGATCAGACATCGTCTCATAAACATTTTACAGAGAGATTGCCAAACAAGATAAACTTTTCCGGTCGGAGGAGGTTGTGCTTGATTTAGCATTAATTCGGTTAGATCGAAATTTCTTTCCTCCTGCTCAACTTGTCGTTGTCGCCGCTTCTCTGGTCCTCGTCTAGCCAGTTTAATACGCATTGCAGTGTAACATCCAACACATTCTGAATATCGAGTCGAAGAATTATTATAAACTTTTTCGTCATTGTCACCCGTTACTGGATAAATACAATCAATATACATACACCATAACGACGTGGCATGATATAGTTCCGAGATATCGAGATGGCGAAGAAATGCACTATAGTTGAAAGCTGTTGGCGGAAAATCAGTGGGTATCTTTATTCCACTTCTGATGAGCATCTCCCGTTCTTCTTCGGAAAGACAAGCGACATATGAATGTATCAATTTGGGGTGTCGAGTGGAAAGCTTATTGTAAGTTAAATATTTTAACAAGTCAAATGGTTTTCTCCATAGAAAGGGCACGACGCTGTTACACCACTGTCTATTAACGAGCAAACAAGAGTATAACGTTATTTTGTCCTCGCTCAAAATCTCGAAAATGTCAGTGAGACAATCGTTTGGAAGGAAAGAGGCCATCGAAGGTTATACTTTTGTTTGTTCGCTTTTTATTTTGTGTCAGAAGGAGAAAATTTGGATAAGCAACACAGGTTTAGCTTTTAGCTTCTCACTTCGTCGTTCGTCTTCTCGTTATTCCTTCTTTCGCGAATAAATTGTGGTTAAAATACATATACTTAATTTATTCTATGAATATATATGGATAGCCCAGCGAAATCTCTACTCGTGAAACATATTTTTGTACGGCGATTGGTTTTGCACCTTCTTATTCAAGCGCTGAATATCTTTCGGGTGGCTATTTGTTACATTAATGTCTATTATTTTATTTATGTATGCGTATTGTCGATGTGTGAATCTTTGTATTATCTAATAAATAGGAAAAAAAACAAACTCCCTCCAATATTTTTTTACCCTGTCCTGTACTAAAATACACGCATGATTATTAGAAAGACGTTATACAATAACACCCCTTAAAACAAAAACGTTAACCCGGTGCATAGAAAGAAAGTTTTAAAGCATGTGTAAAACATAAGGATAAGGATAATATCTAACATAAAACCAGAGCTTTTTATCTACTTGCCTATTTCAACCCAAGAAATATGCTCTTCAGTTCCGAGAGTTCAGCTTGCATAATGCGTAATATGGTATATATATTTAAGAAGACACTTGGTTGGTTATATCTAATAATTCGCGACGTGAAAAATAAATAGAATAAATAAAAACGGGAGACCAGCAACTCTGACAAACGCTCACGGAAGTAGCGTGTGCGATCATCAAGAGACCGTTCTTTAACCCCGCCAAATATTAGGTGATTTCATCGATGGCTGTGAGGCACACCGAGTGGATTGGAATCACCCAAATCCTATATTATCCTTACTCATTAATTTGAGGCAATTAAAATGGTATGAATTTGATATATAATCATGTTAATTATTTCCGACTCTATAATTGTGGGATATTCCGTGTTGTTCCAGATTAATTATAACGATAATAGAATAGTACATACCGATACGTGATTATCAAGAGATTAGCATGGGTTTGAGATAGGCAACATTTCTCTTAATAAATTCATATACAGTAATCCCGAATTTTCAGCTATCGCGGTTTACACTGCGTATGTACGTGCGACAAGATAAACTGTTATACATTAATGAATATAAAAGAAAAATGATAGGTGCATATAATAAAATATGCGGTGTAATTTCCAGATATGGTATCAGTGTGCGAGAAAATGGAAACCTTTCATAGTATCGATATTAATTAAAAGAAAACTTCGAATCATATGACGAAAATTAGACCACGTTTTGTCGCGCCAGCCAATTTCTCATGAGAATGTTGAAAAAATTAAAAACTTGAATTATCCTGTTTTTTTTTGTAAAAATTCACGACGAACGAAGCATTAGAAAATTTAAAATAAACTCGAACCACAGGATAACGAACAACTGCGTCATACACCCGGCTTTATTATCGTGCAAAGCACACGCTAATAAACAAGTATCGTACGAGGTGAGTTTGGTTGATACATTATTTGTTTATATGCACAAAGCTTTAATTATATATCAGACTGACACAAATTTTATTTCCTTTCCAACTATTTTCTTATTATGAGAGTTTATAGTTTTGTCCTGTGGGTTCTTTTTAGTCACCTCTTCCTTCTCATCCTTATCATAATTTCGTTCATTTCATTAGGTTGACCCGTCTTTCTCTTTACGAAACTTGATTAATTGCAATAATACTTTTTTAATGTCCAATTGAGTTTAAAGCAAATTTGAACGAAATTGAAAAACTTACCTTCTTTTTGCCAATTATCGTCGCGTTTCTCTCCGAAGTTTTTTACTATTATATAACGTAGTAGACGTAGACTTCAACAACTGGTACTTTTCGAAGTAGAAATAAAGACAACTGTTTACTGCTGCTACCACTATTACTATTACCACTACCACCACTGCCACCACTACCACATTTTCACTATTACTGCGACGGCGACGGCGACTAAAACTTTGAAACGATATCGGTTACTGTGGTTCTTCAGCCACATTACCAATAACCGAAAATATAATGAATAATACAGATGGAAAATGCCCTGGTCCATTATTGCCTAGCTATGGAAAAAATCTTGATAACTGCCTTGATGATTGTTGTCTTCCTTGCCCTTTTCCAAACAATTTCTATCAGGAAGGGGCGCTGGATCGTGCCTATAAAATATTCAGTTCATTGGGGATAATTTCGTTCTTCCTAATGCTCTTTTTGGCAGTCACTTTTATCGTACTACCAAGTGCGAAACGAAATCCTACAACTAAGCAATTATTATTACCATTCGTTTTGAGTGTCTGCATTTTCACTTTTGAAGGGTTTTTCACCGTGCAGCAGCGTAAAAGTCAGGTAATGAATGCAAATCGTCAGATCATCTACATGCTTATTTGTTGGTTGTTTGTGTGTTAATTATGCACCGAATAAATTAGTGTCACTCGGAAATTGAACAAGCTACCATTCACAATAATGCTTATTGTGCAATCCAAGGTAATCATTAATATTTAGTTTTTCTTAATTTATAAATTATAATTATTAATTTTTCATGCAATTTCAAAGCATTTTTTGAGCTAAGCGGCGCTTACGCAATCGCATGCTGGTCTTCACTTCTAATTGTTCATCTTCATCTGGTAAATGTTTAGGACAAATTTTGAACTTTAACATTTATTATTTATTGTGACAAATTAAAATGAAATCTGGTGACCTTTTTTGAATAATATTTATAAAAAAGGGTTAAATAATTTGTGTTTTTTTTTTTTGGTGACAATTATGGAAAAGGGTTAAGTATGAATTCAGAGTATAGTCATCGATTATTTATTTATCCTACTAGATTTCATTTTAATCTGCCACATTTATTAACGATTTTAACTATTAACAATTAATCAATCGATCGATTTTATCAAGTTATCTATATGGCGCAACGAAGTGGTGACGCGAAACATTGGTTTCTTTCACGGGATTATTTGGACAATTGTAGTTCTATCTGCAGTTGTTCCAATGAGTATGAATAAGATTTCATCGGGAAATATTTGTTTTTTGGATCAATCAGCCAATGCCGCTTTTTACTATCCACTGAGTTTCCTCTACATCGTATTCATATTACACTTGGCTACTTGCATTTACATGGCAAATGTAAAAGTTTGATTTTTTCGATTCGTAAATTTCCGCGCGTCCGATTATAGAAAATTGATTCTGATTGACTAAAAACTAAAAATCACTTTAGATATCGATTCGTGCGAATTGGAGATCAGAGTCTCATGTAAAGGATTCGAACATCAGATCATCGATGACTGAAACGCAAAGAAAATTCTCGGAGATAAAAATGATTTTCATGATGCAATGGCGTGCTTTACTAGGCGGATTACTTATGCTTGTCCTTTATCTATTTGACTCGGTTTGTATAATATAAATTTTTATTTTTTTTCATTATAATCATCATCACCATAATCCCAATCAACTTTCAAATCTTAGATCTATTTTGTCCACTTGTATCCCACTCGAATAGACACTTCTGAAGACTGGTTTCTTTCTTGGCGAGATTGCATTTATAACAATTCGCAAGACGAGTGTGCCAGTAAAGCATCAGGGCATCTTCCGAGTTATTCCGTAGCAATATTTATGCTTTTTCTCAATCGTTGTGCGGGTATACTGATCTTTATTATATTCGCGGCGAAGAAAGGGTTCCTGACCGAAATTTATCAAGTGATCACAGGACAACCTCCATCGAGTAATTTGGTGGGATCGAGATCTGTGGGAAGACACAGTACAACACTTGTTATTAATGATTCCAATAGCAGACCTCGATCAATTGCTCTCAGTGAAAAACGCATTAGTAGTTTTCATTGGGGAACATCTGAACCCGCACCAATACCATTATCTTTGTCAACTCGTAAAATCACCGATAATATTGCTCTTCAACAAATTCAAACTAAATTACCAGCACCATTACCATTTGATGAGATATCCAATAATCTTGGGCCTCCGCCACGTTCTCCTCTTAACAGCAAAACATATTCGCTGAATGACTCTACTCGATCAAATTCGCCCACTCCCACTCACGGATCATGTGCAAGAGCCTCATCTACGATAATCCCAATTTCACCGAAATCCCCAAATAGAATGTCATTTCCTATTGAAAATCCACCAGAAATATCTCATTCATCTAGATCTTCAGTTTCCTCGGGACATAATTCTTCTAACGATCAATCCACACCAGAATGGCTTACCCCTTTTAAATCACATAATTTGCATGCACCATCTATGGCACGAGCTTCTTTTGGTCTTGTTGATTCTCCACCGGACTCTGCAGGTGATATTAGACATATATCTATTACTGGTCCAGTTTCGCAAAAGACTATTGAATCACATGAAAATCTCCATGTACCAGATAAAGACACAAATACTCGTTCTAGCGAGATTATAGATGTACATTTAGAGATTCAATCGGACGCATCGACGTCATTTAAATCTAATGATGAAAGAGATCTCAAAGAAAACGAAGAGGAGATTAAAAAAGATGATGGTGAAAGGACATTAACATTTGGACATGAAGAAGAAGAAATATGGGATCCTTTGAATTTAAATGTTGTATCGTCGGAGAATACAAATGAAGCAGGTGAAAAAGTTGTTGCTATCCAAATACCAGATAACAATAATCAATAATTAAATTAAAAAAAAAAAAAAAACACCATATCATTAAACAAACAGCGAATCATCACCTTTGGCTGTCAAATGATAATAATGAAGTTGTAATTCCTTTTTCAAAAAATATTTAACCTGGCACGAGACATCGTGTTTTATTTTATATATATTGTAATATTATTGTTATCCTCCTCTTATAACCCATTTATCAATAGTATTCATCATTCACACTTTTTTTGATATTACCAATTTGAGCAAAGTCACGAGTGAGCGATCAACATCTTCTCGGGTCTATCGCTATCCTTAAAAGAGTTACATCACATTAGATAAGCAATTATCTAAATATTACCACATGAAACTTAAAAATAAAAAATTTACGTCAAAAAAGCGTCATTTTTATAACAAATTACTTTTTTTAACATCAAAACGTATTTGATCATAATCATTGCGGGTATACTGATCTTTATTATATTCGCGGCGAAGAAAGGGTTCCTGACCGAAATTTATCAAGTGATCACAGGACAACCTCCATCGAGTAATTTGGTGGGATCGAGATCTGTGGGAAGACACAGTACAACACTTGTTATTAATGATTCCAATAGCAGACCTCGATCAATTGCTCTCAGTGAAAAACGCATTAGTAGTTTTCATTGGGGAACATCTGAACCCGCACCAATACCATTATCTTTGTCAACTCGTAAAATCACCGATAATATTGCTCTTCAACAAATTCAAACTAAATTACCAGCACCATTACCATTTGATGAGATATCCAATAATCTTGGGCCTCCGCCACGTTCTCCTCTTAACAGCAAAACATATTCGCTGAATGACTCTACTCGATCAAATTCGCCCACTCCCACTCACGGATCATGTGCAAGAGCCTCATCTACGATAATCCCAATTTCACCGAAATCCCCAAATAGAATGTCATTTCCTATTGAAAATCCACCAGAAATATCTCATTCATCTAGATCTTCAGTTTCCTCGGGACATAATTCTTCTAACGATCAATCCACACCAGAATGGCTTACCCCTTTTAAATCACATAATTTGCATGCACCATCTATGGCACGAGCTTCTTTTGGTCTTGTTGATTCTCCACCGGACTCTGCAGGTGATATTAGACATATATCTATTACTGGTCCAGTTTCGCAAAAGACTATTGAATCACATGAAAATCTCCATGTACCAGATAAAGACACAAATACTCGTTCTAGCGAGATTATAGATGTACATTTAGAGATTCAATCGGACGCATCGACGTCATTTAAATCTAATGATGAAAGAGATCTCAAAGAAAACGAAGAGGAGATTAAAAAAGATGATGGTGAAAGGACATTAACATTTGGACATGAAGAAGAAGAAATATGGGATCCTTTGAATTTAAATGTTGTATCGTCGGAGAATACAAATGAAGCAGGTGAAAAAGTTGTTGCTATCCAAATACCAGATAACAATAATCAATAATTAAATTAAAAAAAAAAAAAAAACACCATATCATTAAACAAACAGCGAATCATCACCTTTGGCTGTCAAATGATAATAATGAAGTTGTAATTCCTTTTTCAAAAAATATTTAACCTGGCACGAGACATCGTGTTTTATTTTATATATATTGTAATATTATTGTTATCCTCCTCTTATAACCCATTTATCAATAGTATTCATCATTCACACTTTTTTTGATATTACCAATTTGAGCAAAGTCACGAGTGAGCGATCAACATCTTCTCGGGTCTATCGCTATCCTTAAAAGAGTTACATCACATTAGATAAGCAATTATCTAAATATTACCACATGAAACTTAAAAATAAAAAATTTACGTCAAAAAAGCGTCATTTTTATAACAAATTACTTTTTTTAACATCAAAACGTATTTGATCATAATCATGCCGTCACCCAGAAAAGGCTGGGTACGCCATCGCATCATTAATTCCAAGAGAACAAATACGTATATAAGTGTACGATTCTGTTGTTATTTTTCTTTCAATTTACACAGAGAAAAATAGATTCTGCAATATGAACAAACTAACAAACTTTTTCCTCGTTCTCGTTCTCCTCATTGTCCAAAGTTTGATCGTGGGAGTAGTTTATGCACAAACTACTACGCCGCCTCCTCCTCCTATGCAAATTACCACCCAAACTACAACAGTAAGTTCTTTACGAGTTTGAATTAACTATCGAGTCACCACTAATCTTCAATTCTTTTTCCTTAACAATAAAGACTGATACTACTACGAGTACTACAATTCCATTTCTCTCGGTCACTACTACTACTGGGACAACAGTTACAAATGCCGTCATCTCTAACTCCGTCGCATCTACTGCTACTGCCACGTAAATTTCTAGTTTTTTGTTAAATTATTATCATTCTTGAAAATGTTATTAATACTTTTATTGTTTATGTAGTTCTACTCGTACCTCATCAAGCGGACAATCATCAAGCGGAACATCAAGCGGAGGAACATCATCTCAAACAAGTTCAAGCTCCGCGAATTCAATCCGATATGATAATGAGTTTATGGGAATTGGCGCTGCATTGGCAATTTTCTATATGTTTTCTTAAAATTGATACGTAAAAATCGAATTATTTATTCAACCCAGGATGTTTTTTCTTATATTTATTAATAACAATGTCGCAAATGAAATAATGTTAAATCTTAAATAACAGATAACAAGAGATAATAAAAGCTAACAATACCTTATAATACGAATTTCGAATGGATGTTCTTTTTTTTGCATCATTAAAACATTGATGCATAATTCTGGAATTTTCATCAATAGATATGCTCATGACGCGAACATTTATTTCCCATGCAAAATGGAAGATAAATTGCGTTAAAGCATCATTAGTTCTACAAAAAAAATGCAAGCGTAGCATAGAGTCACAATCTTGAGTATAAAATTAATCCTAATACCTTTTTTTATCCCACTTCAGTCAATTAAAAAATCAAACTTTTTCGTATTATATATTTTATGCACATAAAATCTCCAAAAGCTGTACACTCTGAGGCATCAAAAAACGATATGAAAATTTTCGCAATCCAGAAATTTCTATTATTGGGAATTACAAGCATATTTTTCGCAGAATCATCTTATATAGTCAATAGTCATAATGATGAAACAAGCATTCATAAATTAAATCACTTTATCGGGAAATTAAACGATGAGCTGAGGTTTGAAGATGATTGGGTATTACTAAACTCACGCAAAAAATTAACGCGAGTTCACGACTGTCAATGGGAATGTGATGGTTGGTGTCCAATTTGTCAAAAATATTCTTTCGAGTATTAAACTTGTGTGTATCGGTATAATAAAAATGAAACTAGTTTAAAACCGATGATTTATAATAAATGTTTGCATGTACGTATGTAACTTGTGCAGCAATGCACTCTTTTGGTTTCATCTTTTTACCTTCCCTTAAATTGAGCATTGCTAAATTATTGTTATCGTTATTATCGTTATAGTTTTAAGAAATACTCGATGGTCAAACTTGGGTTTCTCAATTCCTTTACCCTTCCAAAGACGAACCGCGTAAATTGCGCATCGAGAATTCTTAAATAATCTTATCCCGATTTAAGGCGCTATATAACAAAGGCCTCGGGACCAGACAAAATCTTCGCTATATCCAGGGATTTTTTACATCCAAATCATTTAATTATAAAAATGAATTGGAACCGAAAAAAATCTTCGTTAAAAGGAAAATTTTCATTATAAATAAATTCGTAACTGCGTACGCATAGTGCTTTATTCAGTAATTCAGTATTTACCTACCATTGAGGAAGTAAAGGTTCATGTTTTCCACTAATTACAAACTCTCATATGCTCACAACCAAATAAATTAATAAATTTCACACAAGCTTTGTCTGGTACCATATATCGAATTTTCGCCATCACAATTTTTCAACTATGAAAACAACTTTACTTTTTATGTCGTGATTATAAATGTTCACCTCATTGAAAAATCCAAATATCCACAGCGAAATCGTATTTCGTTGAAAGTAAGAATTTTTTTTAATCTGTTTAAGAGTCTCAACTTTTTGTTAAATAGCAGTGGCGATTGTTTTGGTAAAGATTTATCTGACATCGGTTTTCTCGAAATCAGAAGAGAATCCACAGAATTTTGACAACCATTTCTACTTCCATGGAAATATATAGACACACCACTTTTGCTTCTTGTGTTTTCGATTTTTGCAAACCGAACTTCACTAACATACAATTCAAACTTGTAGGTCAATGGTATGAACATAATGTGGCTCGGCAAATTCATTTTGATACTTTCGAACTGAGAAATATCTTTTTACTGAGACTTCCACATATAAAACACGAGTTAACAGGACAACACTTTTACGACCCAGAAACTATACAGGTAAATCCGGATTTTTTGTACATGTACTATGAAACGGAACCCTCCGGAAGTGACTATGTATATGGGAAAAGTTATGAATTGTTTATTTCTGGTTACGTATTTGGGAGGAAAGTCTACGGCCGAACCTATATTATTAGACATTTTCTTAAGTACGAAACCGAAAGAAGAAACATCGAGACTTTTGATGCTGGGCTTTTTATTATATAATAGCATTGCGATAAAGATCGGCGAACACAACATTTCTTTGTTGGAAATCTCTTTGTAAAATTTACTTTTTTGTATGCAGATAGTACGGAACCAGCCTAATAAGCATTTAACGTTCGAGCATAGAAGTGTGATACTTTTGTATTCATTTAAATACAACCCAATTCTCTTTGTCAAATAAGGAGATCTTTTCCGGTCTTCATATTTATCAACAACTCGTTTGTTTTTTATTGTTGTTGCTGTGACCAACTCTTAATAAAAATTTCTACTTTCAGTTGCTTTAGAAAAGCAAAACACATAAATTATTATTTTTTCTGCAAAAATTCTTGCAAAACAAAATGACAGATATTATTCATAAAGTAGTATCATCAGAACATAGTCGTAGAATGTCATCTTTCAATGATCATGGTGAATGTCCAATATGTGGAAAGAAACGTGTCAGTAAATTTTGGTGTAAAGAATGCGAATCTAAATTATTTAAGAAAAAATTTATTCATTGGTCAAGCGGAAATCAAAATATTGATAGCCTAATACGAGAAACGCAATCGAATGCTGCTACAAATTGTAATTATTTAGAATGGATCCCGTTCGACCAATTTAATGACGTTGAGCTGGTGGCAAAAGGTGGATTTGGGGTCGTGTAAGTTCAATTTATTATTAAAGCTTATAATTATTCAAGCTTTATTGATAAGGTTGCTTAACAGGTATTCGGCTATTTGGTTATGTGGACCAAGACGTACAGAAGACGATGCTACTCAACGATATAAAAGGAATGGCGATACCAAAGTAGCGCTAAAAAAATTGAATAATTCAAAAAATATCAGTAAAGAATTTTTTACTGAGGTATTTTAATAAGCGAATTCAAGTTCCTATATAGATTTCTTGTGGTTTTAATACTTTTTGACAAGAGAAAATTTTTAGTTAAGCACTTATTTCAGTTTTTCCGGAAAAACAACTATGTCAAATCATGGCTGGCACGATTATCCGCGTATTTTACAAAGCTATGGCATCACTAAAGACGATACTAGCGATGATTATATGTAAATATCAAAATTTATCTATTATTTATCATTGATATTAATTAATTCACATAGACTCTATTGAATTTAAGGATAGTCATGGAATTCGCCACTGAAGGCGATATAAGAAAATATATACGCAATAATTTTCACGATTTACCTTGGAGCAAACGAATAGAATACCTCGAAGAAATCGCCCACGGGCTTTCTAATATTCACGAAGCTGATATTGTGCATGGTGATTTCCATTCTGGGAATATCCTTGTCAGACGAAAAGATATTATTTGTATAGCCATCGGTGATATGGGACTGGCTAAAAGGGCCGATTCGACATCGGAAGAAAAGGGAATATTTGGCATTATGTCTTATTTACCTCCGGAAGTTCATCGTGGTGAAGAATATACATCAAAGGCAGATATCTATAGTTTTGGGATGATAATGTGGGAATTTGCTTCTGGACACATGCCGTTTGCCGATGCAAAACACGATTTATATTTGCAATACGATATTTGTGATGGAAAAAGACCCGAAAAGATCGACGGAACTCCTGATTGCTATCAAAAGTTGATGGAAAGATGTTGGGACGAAGATCTGAAAATTCGCCCAACAGCAAAAGAATTAAAAAAGACTTTTAGAAATTGGTTAGCCATGAGCGAATTTACAAGAGAAGTTCGGGCTGCTGAAGTCAAGCGACAAGAAAGGCTTGTTAGTCTTAGAGGTCATCGGCGAACCTTTAGTATTGATCGGCCGCACAGTAAATATTTCCCCGTGTTGAATCCAGGTAACGGAGTTATACCTATTCAATTTCACTATTGAAGAAATCTTAAATTAATTATTTTTATTCAATATAGATTTTGTATCTAGGGAACGAAGTAGGTTTATAAATTTATTTGCATGTACGACTATTTCTATTAAAATATTTAACAAAATTTTGTTATATTAGTTCAAAATAGTCCGGTGTCGATACTTTCTCCAGGTATTGTATATATTATTCTTCAGCTTTGGGGTATTGTTATCATTTTCTGATAAATTTATATGATAAATTTATAGAACCTAATTATTTTAATACTCCTGATACTGCCAATTATACTAATTCTACTGGTTATACTGATTATGATTCTACTGAACATAGTATGCTCTTTTCTGACCCAATACCAAGTAAGAAATAAAAATTTAATGTAATTATTTAAATAATCATCATTAATAATATTTTTTTTACTTTAGGTACAATCGAGCCTAAGCCATATAATTGTCTAGCAGATATCAATATAGACTCTAGAGCTGATTTGGAGACTATAACGATAAACGATGGTAGTAAACTATTTTATTTGAGTTTTATAAACATGTATTCTAGTTTTTAACCAGTTTTTATGTAGATCCAAGTAGTATTAGTGTATCAAGTAACAGCAATACAGGTATTATAGTTTTTTAGACAACACGTCTTATGTTTTGTTTATTGGACTAAAATGGCGTTTTTTTTTTTTTACAGAATCTACCGAAAGCAACAACTTGTCAACTGCTTCAGGTATAACCATAATTTTTTGGATAACGCGTCTTATGTTTTTGTTTATTGGACTAAATGACTTTTTTTATATACAGAATCTACCGAAGGCAATAGCTTGTCAACTGCTTCAGGTATATAAATTTTTGATAACACACGTCTTATGTTTTGTTTATTGAACTAGAGTGACGTTTTTTTTTTTTTTTTTTTTTTTAAGAATCTACAGAAGGCAATAATTTGTCAACTGCTTCAGGTATAATCGTAATTTTTGGATAACACGTCTTATATTTTGTTTATTCACTAAATGATGTTTTTTTTTTACAGAAGCTACCGAAGGCAATAGCTTGTCAACTGCTTCAGGTATATAATTTTTTTTAATAACACGTCTTATGTTTTGTTTATTGAACTAAAATGACGTTTTT